CCAAACAGAATATGGAATTGGATTCCAATTCCTGACAGATTTCAATTCCTTCACATATTCCAATTCGTTCACAGTTTCCAATTCATTTACAGATTTCAATTCCCTCAGAAACATTCTAGTGAACCAAACGCCACCTTAGGGAATGGAATCCACATTCCCCCGTTTGGTTGGCCGGGAATGTCATTCCCGGTAATCTTATATTACTAATAGTGGATTTTTTGGGGTATATTATCAGGAATGTCATTACCTCCATTTCCTTAGGTATTGTTGGATTACCGGCGTTTTGGATTAAAATGCCCCTGGATTTTTTTTTCTTTCAAAAATATCTTTATTCTGTCATTGAATAATAAAAATTCTACGAAGGTTAAATTACAAATTTATCCTTAAACTATTTTAGATTTACAAAAAAATCTATAATTAAAATTTTATATGAAATTCAGGGGTTAAAATAAAATTTTACCATTTCATTAATTTTTTTTTATATTTTTAAATTTGTAAAAAATATATATAAATTTTATGAATTTAAATTTTTTAAAGAAAATATATAAATGTTTCCCAACTTATTAAAAAAACAAATATATAATAAGGATAATTTGGTTAAATATATATTCTAATAATCTTTTATTCCTTTAACCAAACACAGTAATCTTACATTCCTGCTAAATCAACCAAACACAAAATACAACATTCCCAGTAATCCTATTCCCTGGTAATCTTTTATTCTCACTGGTAATCTTACATTCCGTAAACCAAACGCACTTGTCATTTTCCGGATAGAATACAATTGTATTGCACTAAGTTTAGTAACTGGTTAATTTGCTATCATTAATTGGAAACCATAACTAGACCTTTATTCCAGGTAGAGGACATGTTAAAACGGAGTTTTGCCGAATTTCATGCTCAAAAGAAACTTCCAGAGCAGCAACAATTACTAATGCGAAAGCTTCCACAGCCTAAAAAAACTACAGAGTAAGTGTTTGCATGGTTAAAACTTAGTTGCTGAAATGTCTGAGATTTGAAAACTTTCTTCCTTCAAAATATGATTTGTTACTTGTGTTAGTGCTCGGTATGGCTATGTTATAAATTGATACTAGTCTAGCTGTACCTTTTTCTATTTTGTGATTTATTTGGGATTATGCGGCTTTGGTCATATATCTTGCACTGCATGTTTACTTCTTTCAGCCGAGAAAAGAAAATAAGAGGCTTAATCTACTTTTCTAAATGCTGAAAGTAGCGTTGCAAGACAGTTTTAATTCTTGTGGCTGTAATTTCAATAGCATTCTATGAAAGGGAATTAAAGTCGTTTACGTTTTGATTTTTGAGATAGAATGTTCCAGTACCCTTGCAGGATGTAAGTAGCACTATGATGATGCACTAATTTGTATAGTGGCTTTCAGCAGCATCACTATGTGTATGTGCATAGATAGCTCTTTTCAAGGTTGATATTTCTCCTCACTTTTGAAGTCACTATTTGCATGTAGATGTATTAAAGGTGAACCAGCAATTGAAGAATATTATGGGATGCGCGCTGAAGCTGAGGAACACAGTGAACAGATATCAAAAGCTGTCATGCAGTCTCCTGTAGCCCAACAGTTTCTTCCCCCAGGGAGAGTGGTTGTGGTCAAATCTAAATCTGTGAGTTACCATAAAAAAATTTCTTTGCATGTTTCAGTCTATCATATTTAGGTGCTCCAATATTAGCCATGCACATATAACCTCTGTCCAGAATATATACTTAGAAGGATGTTTTACATCTGATTGAAGGAATCTTATCTCTGTCAGTATTCAAATCTGGGTTTTGGGGCCAAGTTTTTTGGCAACTAAGAATTTCTCATGTATCTTCCCCCTTCCCAACAGACCCAGGAAAGTTTGTCTTCTACGCTTATTTTCTTGATGATGATTATACTGCTTGAAGCTTATATTGTTTGGATTATTTCTATAAGATGCTTAACTTTTGCAACCTTTGAAGCAAATTAAAGAACTAATCATGCAATAATAAACTGATTGATTTCAGAACAGTTCTCTATTATTCTTCCACGTTAACACACGTGAGGAGAAAGTAAAATTAAAATCCGGTCATTTTGATGAAGTGGATGTTCTTTCCACATGTATATTTTACTGCTGCTACAGCATTCTGTGCCATGTTTAGGTTTGGTTTCCCTGTTATCTCTTGTTTGAGGGTCTTATTTCGTTGTCTTACTCATGTTGATCCATCTAAAATGGAGGCTTTTTTCATTTAATCGATTGGTGGTGGGTAATAAATTTATGCACTTAAAATTGACATGCCCAGGACCATTTATTAGGAGTTGTCCTGCAGTCATCTTCTGCCAATAACAAACAATATATTGTGCTGCTTCTTAAACCTGGTGTTCCAGCAATGACCCAAACTCAGTCAGACAGAAGTAACTTGCAAGATAAGAAAGGTGTTGACTTCCATCAAGGTTACGTGCTGCTACCAAAATTCAAGCATGATCTTGAAGAAGATTATCGCTTATCTGCTGGTTCACGTAAATGGTCAGGCGTCATCAACATAACACTGCCCCACCGTGCTGCTGCTGCTGCAGGAATGAGTTTCGAGGTCAGAGAAGCTGAAAATGCAGAATTCTTATGCATATGCAATAGCAAGATAAAATTGGACCTACCTGGACTTCTTGAATATGGTAGCAATACAGCTTTCTCCCTCACTGTTCAGCAGCTCTTGAAATTGAAGTCGAATGGAAACAAATATCCTCCTGCCTTAGATCCACTTAAAGGTATGGCTGTTAATTTATTTTATCCACGTGAATGTTTATATTTTGGTGAAAATTTAACTGCATCTCCTCTTTTAAATAGTTTCTTAGATCTTTAAATGAAGCTAAAGAAATTCTGCAACTTGCTGACTGCTTTAGCTCTGAGATAGGCAATTGTACATGTTCCAGAAACTTAGAAGTATAAACAAGCACTTTTGCAGCCTTGTTGACATAGGACAATGATATCTGAGCTGAAAACATTAAAAACTCACAAGCACTTTTGCAGCTTTGTTGACATAGGACAATGATATCAAGGAACTATTTAAGAAAGATCTGGAAAAAACATGACATTCCAAAAACAATTTTAATCATTTTTCTTTTCATCCATGAAGCATGTTCCTTTGATGTTGTGAACTTGTGATTCTGTCATCACTCTTGATGATCATAACTTTGGATTTTCAGTTAATCAAAAGAGACCTTTCTGATAGTTATCTTTTTTCAGATCTGAAATTGAAAGACATGGATCTTGTTAAAGCATAGTACAAATGGACCCATCTACTGCAGAACAAGTGCAACGAATGTATAAAGTTGGAGGAGCACATTATGTTGGCTAGAGAAATTAAGAAGCATAAAGAGGAAGTTACTGCTCTTGAATTCGAATTATCTAATGAAGCACTTCAACAGATGCCAGAATTTCAGGGCCGATTATGCCCTTGCCATGTTCTGCTCATTGCAGATTGATGTTCTGAAAGAAATTGGTTATATAGATGAAGACCTTGTGGTTCAAATAAAAGGTCGTGTAGCCTGTGAGATGAATTGAGGGGAGGAATTGATAAGCACAGAATGTTTATTTGAGAATCAACTAGATGACCCCGAACCCGAAGAAGCAGTAGCTATAATGTCTGCCTTCGTGTTTCAGCAAAGGAACCCTTCTGAACCTCCTCTTACATCCAAACTTTCTCAGGCCAAACAAAGGTTATCTTCCTATCCATCTTCTCTTTATGTATGTCAAGTCTTGCTTGAAGTGTCTTTTCCATAGATATTTTGTTTTAATAATTCTCATTGCAATTCTAGTGTAATTAATGTGCCATAGTCATAGTCTCCTGCTTGAATCTCTTTTACAGTGATTGTTTTTGCTTAATACACAGCCGCATAAGAGCTAAGCTGTGCTTCAGCTTGTGTACTTGCAAGAAATTATAGATTACACTTACTGATATTTAGATTGAAATTAAGGGTTCTATCTCTTCCATGCCATATGCTATGGTGATAATTTAACGTGAATATTTTTTTCTGACAGAATGTATGATATGGCTATTAGACTCGTTAACCTTCAAGCAGAGTTCAAGTTACCAACCAATAACACCCGAGGAGTATGCACAAGAGAATCTCAAGTTTGGTCTTGTTGAAGTGGTTTACGAATGGGCAAAGGTTTCATAACTTAACATGCTGATTACTCGTTAAACCTTGATCTAGGTTTTGGTTTGTCATCTTATATCGTCCTTGTTGCAGGGTACCCCATTTGCTGATATTTGTCAGCTCACGGATGTTCCGGAAGGCCTTATAGTACGAACAATCGTCAGGCTGGACGAGACTTGTCGTGAATTCAAAACTGCTGCTGCTATAATGGGTAATTCATCGCTTTATAAGAAAATGGACTCTGCTTCCAATGCCATAAAGCGTGATATAGTTTTTGCAGCTAGTTAGTACATCACTGGAGTGTGATCTGTGCATTATTCTGTGATTAATGATTGTGACATAGCCAAGTTAATAGATGTTTAATCAAAGCAAATTTTAACAATTTTGCCTTTCCTTAGTTTTAGAAGCCAACATATTGAGAATTTTTCCATATCTTCTGATCAGGTTAGAACCCAAGTCATTTGACCTTGTACAAGAATACATCGACCTAGTTACCGTGCCCCTTTTCAAATTTTGATTTGTATATTTGGTGTCTTTAAAAGCATGATTTGAACATTTACTTGATCCGTTTTGGGACACGGTTCGATTTGATACATTTTCAATGAAGCTTGTATAATATATTTTATCGAGCTCCAGTTCGGATAATAGTATTCTAGCAAGGCTGCGCTTAGATAATAATATTTGATCAAATTTGATTTGAGCTTATGAGTTTCGAATAAACTTTAGATCGGCTGGATTATAGGTCAGGTTATAAGAAGATACATTCATCTTTTATTTATTTAAGCTTGCTACAGATACATACCATAAGCAATTAAAGATCACCATCTAGTTAAGATACAAAATAATATAATCATCGTGAATGACAATTGTTTTCAACATCTAAACACAATAGAAAAACGCTGACGGTTCACCCAATTCAATTATCACTCCTGTTAGGCTTATCTGAAGCCGAATAAACCTGGAAAAATCAATTAGAAAATGTAAACAAAGGTTGGGACAAATCATGTTTTATAGATGCTAGGTAATGAAACAGATCAAGTTTATTTTGGGATTTACCGCATCTGAAGCAGCTGGAATCCAGTCGTTGGTTGCCGGGTTTCCCTTACAAGAGGTGTGGCAACTGGTATCTGAATCTGGTTCTAAACTAAAGTTTCTGCCATTTGTGTTGTCTACTTTTATGAAACCCGTTCCCGTCTGGAATCCAAACCCACCATCATTCACGAAATTTTATTATCATAATCGTAGAGAACAGTAACAATAACACAGATTTCATTTGTACCGTGTGGTGGTGTTTGTCAACACAATTGAGATCCTTATAATATTCAGTCTCCACGAATTCGTCTCGCACTTCACTTCCATTGTACACTATTTTCTGGTTTCAAATTTCCAAGGGAAACAACAAAATCAAACAACCAGAGAGCCTGGAATAACTTTTTTATAGTAAGGGGGAAAACTGACCTGGGGATCATTCTCCAAACGCTGAAACTCGAGGTATTCGGTGATATCGCCGGCGGCGACAGCATCGACATAGTTGGAAGAATACTCGCTTCGTTGAGGCTTAGTGTGACGTTTAGGTGCTTTGTCATGGAAGTATTCCCTGGTCTGCTCCTCCATTCTAGTCTCCTCTTCCAGTGATAAGTGCTCATCGCTCCTATTAGGTCTGCTACAACACTCCATTTTGTTACCTTACAAAACTAAAGTAGCTTGTTGGGACTTTATTAGCAATGGAACGCAGATATTTGTTTGCCTAGATATTTTGGGCCAAAATATCAACTACCCTTAAAATATCTATATTCACAACCTTATCCATTCAATTTCATTATCAACTACCCTTTGTTTGCTTAGATATACGCTTATACGCAGCTATCACTTTAGGTTTTTTTTTAATAAAAAAAACTACGAGTTTAAGATATCGCCTAATTGGATAGGTTAAACTACATCGGTAGTTCCCTATATTTTTAGGACGCTTTATTTTGATCACTAAATTTTTAAATTTTATATTAAAATAACTGAATTTTAATATTATTTTCATTATGGTCACTGCTGTAAGCTGCCTTTCAAGACAATTGATGTGACATGTTCATATATTATTTTTTTAATAAATTAATATTTTCTAATAACATGCAATGACAACTAACATTAGTAATCATGATATTAAAGTTCAATGATGCTAATGCAAGTTTTAAAAGTTTGATGATCAAAGTAAAAATTTCATAGACCATCAATTTAATTTGCCTAATTGAATATTAATTTTTTTAGCTGATCCTATTTCTATGTGTAATGAGGTAAGGGAGAGGTAGGATAGTAGGATGCCCCAACTCCAGGTTGAGAGCAGCTTTCGTGGGAGACCTCCGGCAGTCAGAATTATGAATTGTCCACCGTGGGACTCGATCCCACGACCACAAGGTTAAGAGCCTTGCACTCTATCAACTGAGCTGGACAATCAATTCTATTAGCTGACCCTATTCCCATATGTAATGGGGTGAAGGAGAGGTAAGGTAGTAGGCTGCCCCCAACGCCAAGTTAAAAGCAACTTCTGTGGAAGACTTCCAGCAGTCAGAATTATGAATTGCCCACCGTGGGACACGATCCCACGACCACAAAGTTAAGAGCCTTGCGTTCTTCCAACTGAGCTGGATGGGCAATTCTTAATTGGATATTAAAAAGAATGTTAAATGGTTAAAATAAACTTTATTCTCTCTTAACGATCTAAGTGCACGGGAGTTTAGATTTAAATCTTTTCGGAAAAAGATTAAAATGAAAAAAAAAATACTTAAAAGGCCCAGTTTAGCAGAGTTTCTTCTTCTTCATCTCCTCATATTGGACTAAGTTGAAACCCAATCTTATATGAACCCATGAAACGTTCTACAAGGGAATATAATTACGTTTCCTAGCAGCTAAATCAATGTTAGCTTTTCTCAATATTTTTCAGAGTTATGGAGTGGGAGTGTATTTAAGTATGCAATATTTTATTTGACTATAATTAAAATTATCGTTTAGCTGTTAGGAAAAATATGATGTAAATATTTTTATTTTTAAAACTTAGGGTTGTCATTGTTGCAATATTTACAATGAGACAAGTTTAAACATTTTTTTAATGAAAAGAGGAAATAAACTCTAGCTACCGCTTGAGGTCTTGCTCCAAGTCTAAATATATTTTGTTTTTTTAACGAATCTAGTTTAAAAATATATTACTTATCTAAAATGATTTAATATATATATATAAGCCAAAAAAGAAGCGAAAGTACATTAGCGGGAACCAACATCATAAAATCCCGCCAGTCGAACCTCACGATTCGAACTTATTAATTTTCATTTCTATAAACCCCGCAATACACACCACTCCATCGCTTTATCACTCAAAACCCTAGCTAGCCATTCTCTCTCCAAAAGAGAAGCAAAAGAAAAATCCTCCAAAATGCTCGAGCTCAGGCTTGTTCAAGGCTCGCTTCTAAAGAAAGTTTTGGAAGCGATTAAGGACTTGGTCAACGATGCCAACTTTGACTGTTCGGCGACGGGATTTTCATTGCAGGCCATGGATTCCAGCCACGTGGCGCTGGTGGCTCTCTTGCTGAGATCCGAAGGGTTCGAACACTATCGTTGCGATAGGAACATCTCCATGGGAATGAATCTCGGTAACATGTCCAAGATGCTCAAATGCGCCGGAAATGACGACATCATCACAATCAAGGCTGATGATGGCGGCGATAGCGTTACTTTCATGTTTGAGAGCCCCAGTAAGTTCTTTACATTTATGGGTACTTTGGTCATGTTTCTTTGAGTCTAGGGATTATTGTGAATTTGTGTTTTTGAGTGTTTAATTATGGTTATGTCCTGTTGAACGATTATGTTTAGAAAAACCTCATGTGATCGATTGCTGGAAAAATGATGGATAACTAAAGGGAGCTGTGTAAACTATGAAAATATTGCTTATTTTCAGTAGTTTTGGTGATTGGTAATTTGTTTCTTTCTTTCCTGGTTATGGGTAGAAGAACAAAAGATTTCAATGCTTCTATACCAGTTGTTCTAATTCTAAAGCAAGATGAAGATTCTTCATGCTTATTCAATTGTAATGACATTACACTTCCCCAATTTTTGTACCATACTTCCTAATTTTTTGTCAATGCAAGGTTGAACTGACTTTTTGTGTACATTTCTTTATGCATGTTCTAATGGATTAAAGCTCAAGATAAGATATCGGATTTCGAGATGAAACTTATGGATATCGATAGTGAACACCTTGGAATCCCAGAAGCAGAGTACCATGCTATTGTTAGGATGCCTTCAGCTGAATTTGCAAGGATTTGTAAAGATCTTTCAAGCATTGGTGATACTGGTACTACTTAAATATTTTTGAATTTTAAAAATTTATTACTTATAGATCCATTGGTATATAGCCTTTTATATTTTTACCTGATTGCAAATGTTAATTCTCTTTGATGCTGTTGCAGTTGTCATCTCTGTTACCAAGGAAGGTGTCAAGTTTTCCACGAGAGGTGATATTGGAACTGCAAATATTGTTCTTAGGCAAAACACCACTGTAGATAAAGTATGTCCTTTGGCTTTGGTCTATTGTGTTTTTGTTCTTTTTTTTCCTCGCAAGTATTATAATTTGTTGATTTCTGGATTAAAAAAATTGCAGCCAGAAGAAGCAACAATTATAGAGATGAATGAGCCAGTATCATTGACATTTGCATTGAGGTACATGAATTCATTTACAAAGGCAACTTCATTGTCGAATACGGTGACAATCAGCTTGTCTTCGGAACTGCCGGTTGTGGTTGAGTATAAGATAGCTGAGATGGGTTATATCAGGTTCTACTTGGCGCCCAAGATTGAAGAAGATGAGGAGGAGACTATGCCACAAGTTTAACTTGATTTTGGCATGGATCTTGTTTCCTTGTTGACTATATAATATGTGTTTGATCGTCATTGATGTTTATTTTGAGGCTTTCAACATGTAGCCCAACATTTAGTTTAAGACTAGATGGATGATAACATTTCTCTCATGTGCTTGGATTTTCTCATGCATGTTATAAATTACGTGTTCCGTTCCTTATTTATCTTCGTTCCACCTGAGCTTTGTGGATGTTCTGCCTTAAATAGCCAGATTGCAGAAAGGATAATATTAAGGCAAAATATTAGAATCAAGCCTAAGATCTTTAGTAAAAGGTCTGATGTATAACCACCGAATCAAATTATACGTTAATATTATTTATTGATGAAAAGTGATTTTTAGTTTTAACTGGTGTTGAAAATAATTAAATTTATTTTAATAAAAATATATTAATTATAACTTAAAACTTAAATTATAAAATGTAATAAGAATATATTCGTACATCAATTAAAGCACGTTAATTTTATAAAAATATTTATAATTTATATTATAAAACTAAAAGAATTTTTTAAAAAAAAGTAAAATGATAACAATAAATATATATTATAATGGTAAAGAAAACATTTGCACAGGAAATCAAATGAGATACACCAGTTCAGCAATAGTGGTACATTTTTTTGATTCGCTGTGGTAAAGATATAGCTTAATGGCAACTCGTTACATATAAAGCGCAAATAAATTAAAAGTTTTAAGCTGCCATGCATATACAATACAAATGGTTTGAGCTATTTCATCATGCTACCACAAAAGCTGAACCGGTGAAATGCTAAATTGATCCCAGAAGCCGTTTTGGAGCCCCGAAATGCCTTATTCTGTAAACTCCTAGCGAGGCAGATGGAGGGATTGTCCATTCAATGGTTGCTTGACTTCGGGAGCTTAGCTTCCAAGGTCTTGACCATTTAAACCTAAGGCAGAAATCATCATCGTCGTAAGTTGGAACCCCTGTGTCTTTCCCTCGGAGTATCTCAACGAGGGCAAATGTACCATCAGTCATGAGATCGTTCCTGGGGCAAGCTGACCAGAAGGCAACAGTCACTGTGCTACCTCTCTTGATAGTTGAGTTAGCCGGAACATCAGAGCTGACATCCACGAAATTTGTGCCAGGAGGAGTCGAGTCCATTACGACAGGAAGGAGAAAACCTATTTGCTTCTCTAGAAATTGGGAGGTTGCGGACCTGGTTCAACAGGTTGGCCTTTGATAAGAGAACTCGCGAGCTTCTGGAACTCCTGAATGTAGGAACTGAGCGTGTGTGGACAACCCTAAGAAACAAGAACTTGTAAAAGAACTAGACAAACAATAAATACAGATTAGAAATCCCGAACACAAATGAAATTGCAGTCACCATTCCGGAAATTCACGTCTTTTATAGCCAATAAATGTTAACATTTGGGTAATTATCCATGCAAGTATTGCTGATTCGGCACTGACATCATATCTCTGAACTTGGTACTCCTCGAAGGTAGTAATATACTGTGAATATGTATTAGTAAACCCGGCTATAACGACATGAATGTTACTACCGAATTCTCTATTACCATGGCTTGTAAGCATGGTTTTTACAGCATCACGAAGACGCCTTCCAGACATTGTCGTAAATTCTGCTTGAAACAAAATGGTGAGAATTCATCCTTATAATTGCACATAGTAAAGAAAAGGAACACAGTGCTCAGAAGGTAACATCAAGACATGGTAGTAAATATTCAATTCAAAGTGAAAACTAATGATAGAAAAGGAAAAAACTGCTACCTCCAAGCACACTGAGAATGACTAGCTGCCTGATCCGAAGAATTTGTATTGGAAGTATTGAAGGCTGCCAAGATTACGAATGAAGCAAATGCGTCATCAGTGAACTTATACTAATGGAAAAAGAACTGCAAGCATTGTTTTAGACATAACAGACATCAGAGAAGTCCATCCGATCTCACCTTCTCCGGCGACCAAAACTCTTATGAAATCGTGATTGATCAACAGTACATCAACGATGAATCGACGTTTTATATTCCGCGAACCCTATGATAAAAATCGCAACCCCAAGCGATTTTGACGACCACAACAACTTATAACTAGGATGATGATAAGGACTACGTCAGCGGCGGGAAGGGAGTTAATGTTAAGATTTTGGGATTTTGAAATTTTTTTGTAATTTAAAAGAAATAAGTTCTTTTTATATAAATATAATAATATTTTTAATAAATAAATTTCAAAATTATTAGATTGTGACACATGTCAGAAAACTAACGATCTATTACGACTTGACCCATTTTGAGTAACATAATGAAACGTTAGACATTAAATTGAAAAAATAGATAGATTGAACACCTTTTGTATATTTAAGTCATTCAATATATATTTTCTTTTTTTTAATTAAGCACTGGTATCAAATCTATTGACCGACTAATTCAGATCGGGTACTGCAGAGGTGAGAGCGACCCTCCCAACCCAATTTGCTCCATTCACAAACGCCAGGATTCGAACCCCTGACCTTGCTTAAGGGACCTAATGCCTCATCCCACTAGACCAACTGATTGTTGGTATATCTATTCTAATTTAATCATTTTCAGTATTCTTTTACAACTGTTAAAATTCAATCTTAATATAAAATAATTGTATTTTTTTAATTGATTTTTTAAAATTTATAAATTTTATTCATAATATCCCTTATTATTTAAATTGGGATTGAATTTTAAAATTTAAAGAGTTTAAAGATTAAATGACTAATTTAGCCTTTTAAAAATAACCGAACATAGTACTACCCTACAACTAAGTTTGGGCCGATGGATTTTATGGGATACATAGTCCATTACCAATAATAAATTCAAGAGAAAATAATTTCAGTGATCGAAAATGCCTTATAATATACGATTTTAATCAACTTGTTTTGGATTTACGAAAATGACCAACAAATTCGCAACGCGAACTCCAATTTCGCAACACAGTTTCTAAATTCGCAACGCGAATTTTGTTTTCGCAACTCGATTTTCGAATTCTCAACACGAATTTTAATTTCACACCAGGTTTTATTTTCACAATACAAATGTTTTGGGTATATAACTACGCAGCAGCAACAACTCATAACCTAAATCCCTAAATCGCAACTCATTCCATCTCTATCTATCACTCTCTCCGACGACATCTGTTCCTATATCATTCCCCATCTCTAATTTTTTTTACATAATTTTATTTCTATATATTTTTTCAATAATTTCTCTCCCAAATTATCAACTATCAACTTAATAAAGGTATATTTTTCTCTAAGTTAGCGATATGATATGTAGTTTATAGCTCGTTTGTTTAGTAAATTAATTTACAATTTGTAGAATGAAATCATCTAATGTTGATCATGTTTGGATAAATTTGTGTTTTGGAGGGTCATGGGAGAATGTTACAATATATGCCTTTACACATGAATCTTCAACTAAAACTGTTATTAAAAAAGTTAACTTATGAAACTCTAATGTTACGTGTTGCAAAGAAATTGAATTTAGAGCATCTAAGTGGATTTAGGCTATCTTATCAGAGAAAAGGTAAAGTTTAATTGTTAACCGACAATGAAGATGTTGAACGATTCATTGCTTACATTAGTGTTTCGCAAGAAGATGATGTTACATTGTATGTTGTTAAACCTAGAAGTAGTGAAGTTGGGTAAGTAACGGGTAGTAATCAACTAAGTTCTTTAACCCCAGTTTATGGTGCTCACAATGTACAACGTTGTTATAAACCTCAAAATTTAATGGCTCCACCACAATTTCATCACCAAGAAAATTTTGTTTCACCACATTTCCAATACCAAACACAATATCAAAACCCACAACATTTTCCTAATTCAAATCCCAATCAACTTTCAGCACCAAATTCCAGTTTTCGTATTGACCAGTTAGACGATTATGAGCCAACAGAAAAAATTGTGAGTACTAGTCAGTATTCGAAATTTGATCTTGGTCAATACTCGGATTTTGATGATGTATCAGAAGAAGAAACAGACCATGCGTGTAATGATTTTGATATTAGTCAATACCCAAATTTTGATGATGAAACAGCCGTTGCCGAGGAAGATGTTGTTGATAATAATGAGAAGGAAGTTACGACTGTGAATGAATATGTTGAACATCCATTTTGTAATTCATATAACCTTGAAGAAGAAAAAGAAGAAGTCCCCTAAGAAAAAAAAAGAAGAAAATGCCACGGGAGTATAATTGGAATATGCCATAATTACTTCAGATACCAGAAGAAGAGTTGGTAAAGATAGCAGTTGATTGTTACACAAAAGTTATTCGTATCAAGAAAGATTATTGTTTTGATACAAAGGAAGACTTGAAGATAGCTTTGTATACGAAATGTGTGGAAGATGATTATCAACTAAAAGTTAACAAATCAAGCAAAGATAGTTTCGAAACAAAGTGTATGATTGATAAAAACTGTACGTGGCGTATGATTGCAAAGAGGATAAAAGATTGTGAAATGTTTCAAGTTAGGAATTTTATTGATAAACATACATGTTCAAGAACCCAAGTTTTTCCTCACCACAGACATGTAAACAAAAAGGTGTTGGGTGGTTTTCTGGATGAGTTAATGTTTTTGAATGATAGGGTATATCGGGGACATGAAATTATGACTGACATGAATGCTCGGTTCAAGATTAGTATCTCATATTCTCAAGCTTGGAGAGCCAAATGTTATGCCTTGGAATTGTTGAGGGGGTCCCCAGAAGCATCGTTTGCCCAACTGCCGGCTTATTGTCACAATTTAAAGCTGAAAAATCCTGGGTCGGTAACTCATATCAAAACAGATATAGATGGACGCTTTGAGTTGCTGTTTATCGCCATTGGTGCTGCGGTTAGTAAATCAATATAATTTTGTTGACTCATTTTTGTTAGTTACATGCATTTCATATTTAAATGATTATATTTCTTGTGTATATTATTTTGTAGATTCGTTCATTTATTACTTGTATGCGCCCTTGACGGAGCACATTTGAAAGGTCGATACCTTGAAGTAAACTTATTAGCAGTAGTCATGGATGCTAACAATGGGATATTGCCAATAGCTTACGGGGTTAGCAAATCTGAAACCTCTGATTCATGGACATGGTTTATGGGGCATCTTAGGGATTGCATAGGTCATATTAGCAATCTGACAATCATATCTGATAGGGCAAACTCAATTGA